TGGCTGTGGTTGTATAGGTACATTCCATAATAATATATAGCGGGGAATAAAGTATATGATACGTTGAGTGACTGCTACAAGACAAGAGGAAAACAAAACGGTTAGGAGCCGTACTCATTCAAAATGCATGCGGGTTAAGGTGAAACGGAATAAGAGATGATATTATAATATTATTATCATCTTGCTTAAATGTTTTAATCATTTATCGTGCAAGAAACTATCCTTCATTTGTGTGTGTTTAATAGGTACGTCAGGACCAAATGTATAATAATGACGTATATAATACATTATTATTAAAGCGCGTAATACGCATATAATACATATTATAGTATGCTATATTATTAGTTATTCTTTATGTTTACAATTTGAATAATATCAGGAATGAATTATTATTGAAATACTTTTATACCAATGTGGGTTTTTTATTTCACATTCAAATAGGATCATCTGTATACTATGATATATTATATACACATATAGAATCGTGTTCATCAAAATAAATCAAACGTTTGAAATATATCATCTCGTCGACTATCCATGAGGATGGATCACTAGAAATACGTACTATATTGGAATAGCATTGTACTGAACTTATCTTAAGTAATAGATTTAATTTTAAAATCGCAAATAAAATATAATATTGTTTCATGAACATAAGATCGATAACATCTGACTATCTAAGTTTAAAGATTTATTTAGAATTAACCATTCAAGAATTAAAACTATTAAATGGTAAGACAGTAAGTATGACCTAATCCAATAATAAGAGTTATAAAATAATCAAAAAAAATATTGTATTGTTTTTTATACTACTCTATTATGGGTATAGATAAGCTTTTAAAAGTCATAATATTACATATAGGTACCTACTTAATACACTATATTCAGATGGTTCCTTAAAACGTAATATAAAGAATTTCAGCTTGATTATACAATTTAAATTTGGGAGTATTTAGTGGTAAATATCGACGTCATATATTATGATCATATAATAACGGAAACTAAATATTGTATGGTACATTAACTATATTATATACGTATGATAAATATTTTATAAACAATTTTTTAACAATATAAAAGTACTGTGAGACGGTTATATAATATAAATTATTAGTATTCCGAAAGCAGAACAAGATCGAACCGTTTTTATAAACGAATTCAGTTTGGGTAGAATAAATCACAAATGGTATTTACTAGTAAATTTTTATCCAACAGGTCATTCTTTAAATCGTGTTTCAATACATATTATATCCAGTTTATTCAAACTCATTTTGTATTGCATAATTAATACAAACCGAACGAATAAAAAGTTTTGGAAAATATACATTAATAATGAAAATTGGAAGAACCCAATATTGATTTCAAAAGAATTTTCACCCACCGTCTTTTTATAACAGCTTAAGTTTGTACCTAATACTACTATTATATTATAAATATATGTATTCCACGTTCGAATGTAGAACACGTATTGCCGTGCATTATACGCCTGCCGTGGCTTAATCTATTTTGGTTTTTAATTTACTTCGTGGGGGTATTATAATCGGCACAATGTGGAAGGAAAGAAAAAACACTATCAACTGTCCAGTCAATACACAACATGGACGTTTTATTGGAAGCAAAAAATAAAAATAAAAAACAGGGATTAAGGAAATTTATTTAACTTGTTATATATATATATATATTACGTTTAGCGTGGTCGGCGTTTCCCGGGGTTTTGTGTCCGAATGTTTGCCGTTACCGTGGTTACTGCGGTAGTGGCAGCGGCGGTGGTGCCGAGTTGCGGAGACCACGAATACGTTTAGGTTGGATGGTCGGCGGTGTGGGTAGGTGATTCGGGTAGAAGGGAAAACCGTCCATTTTATCGGTCTGGCCGCACGGGTGTTTACAGTCGAAACGAGACTGCATTTTTAAAACCCCCCGGCGATTATTAAACGAAAACCTCTCCCCCACTGACACAGTAAGGGGGTGGCAAGATGGCGGGGAAGGGATTGAGGAGGAGGTGGGGACTATCGCTGAGGAGGAGGTTGAGGGGGACGAACGCGGTGGTCTCGGCCAGTGGAAAACATTTCGACGTCAAAACGATGCGACATGTGCAAACACGACTATACCACTACAATATTTTATACTTATATGAGTGACTTTTTAGTTTTTGCCAACAATATAACGCGTGAGGTAATAATATATATAATGTATAATATGTGTAAAAGTGTGTCGTGTGTGGCATTGTGGTGTGTAATAATATTATATTATTATATAGAGAGAATTTCGTCCATGATTCTCGTACGAGAACGAGGGAGGGAAAAAAAAGACGAAATTGAATCCACGCCGCCGGCTATTATACTCGGCTTTTCCCGAACCTACCTATTATATATTATATATACGTATACATTGTAATATTTATTACGAGCATATACATAACATTATGACTATATGTGAATATATATTTATTATCTTATAATATAGTATTATTCTTGTTTTGTAGCCAGTTTAAGGATATATTTCTCCTCTTGGATAATTTTAACGAAGCGTAGCTAGATATGTCGGTACATATTTTTTTATACTAATAACCTATTTAAGTAAGCTACATTTTTTTTTTCTAATTTGTATTTTCGAAATACGGTTTTGGAAAGTTACCACAGAATCTGCTAGCCATGAATATTTAAATTGGCATAATTTACGGTTTACAGCCTAAACTTAAAACAAAAACATAAAAATTAAATGCATTCCTAGTTTTTTTTTTTTTTACAAAAATACAGCTGATTCTTTGAGTTAATAATAATTAATGAAGCTAAAGATTTTAAAAATTGTATTACATAGATTTTCATTATAACCATTCCAACAAGACGTTCTGTAAGATGCAAAGTTTAATAGAGTATTTTTAGGTAAGTGTACTTATATAAGCGGGCGAGTGCAGACGAAGGCACTCTGATAATTTTTATGTAATAATCGGGTAGGTACTTAAATCTACGAGTTTTCATAAGCGATGCGTCATTTTGTTTTATTGATTTTTTTTTGGTTTTTAATTTGACCCGATAATAAATATTTTAGTATAGAAACTAACAACTGTCGATATGAATTCTTTGTTATTAATTCACGTTT